GTTCCTGGAATCCATGACTGGAATATAATGAGTAATCAAGCCCTTGATGACAGTTTTACTGTCCTCCTTTTTAGGTGATCATGCTTGCAGCCATCCTGAGAAATGGCTTCAACACACATCAATACCTACCTGATTCCTCTCCATGTGCTTCCTGGAAAAACATTTACTCACATAGTCGAAGGGAGAATCACTTTACCAGCCGGACCTCTCCAGAGGTGTGACAGGTTATGACTTGGGGCCTGGGCCATGACTTGGGCCATGACTTGGTTTGACCTGTCACACACAAAAAAATGACAGGCCAAGCCCAGAGATTACTTTAGTGGCATTTATTTTCTATCAGTGCAGTGAAGCAAAGATGGCAGGTGCAAAATATTTACAAAAAATGTCCAAATCAGGTTAAAATGAAAACAGCACAGCAGTACCTTCAAAGTCCAGATGTATCACCTCCAGTGTGGCACTTCTAGAGTCCAGGTGCAGACTCCCTTGCTGTGGAACAGAGCCCTGCTTTTAAAGCGACAGGCTCTGCCTACAGAAAGTCCAATCAAGCAAAAAACAAAAACAAAAAAACTAAGTAATTACTTCTAACTCAAAAAAATTCTTAATGTATAAATAATAATAAGAAGAACAAATAAATAAATACATTTGTAATCAAAATACACTCAAATAGAAAACAGCCAGCACATTTTGACGACAGCACCACATCACGCAATCCGCTCCCGGTGCGCCACAAACCAGAAACAACTGCACTCAAAAAGAAAGCCGGGAAAATGTTTGACTGAAAACAGATTAGAATGAATGCCAACTGAATGGAGAACACCACGTGTTCACCCACAATGAACCGTCTCAGGTTAAGCTGCAAAAAATAAGTTAATGATTGTGCTAGTGATGGTGAGATGAAGCCTCATGAGGCATTGAACCACTTGAGCCAACTGGTTTGAGAAAGGGTTCATTTCTTGAAGCTTCATGTGCACACAAAACCACCTACTGGCCAGGTGTATAATCACAGCCAGCTGTATCAACACATGTGATGCATTGAATTTTTGTCTATTATTGCTCTTGGGAATGACTTCACAAAAGATGTAGGATGAAATAATTTGTCTAAATTATGTATATACATATGTGTACAATAAAATATTGTTTGAATGTATTCTCTGTGTGTATTTTTTCCCAAAATAGTAGTGTCATGTGAAATGGCATGTTGTGAAATAATGTTTTTCTGTGACTCTAGAAAAATGGCCTGGGCTTAATCAGGCAGAGGACAGTGAAAGTGCTTGTGGAACTAGGGAGGGGTAGTGAATAGGGTAATGCTTGTGTAACTTGGATGATTTCATGCATTTTTATTAAGAAACAACAATTTCTCCACAGTTTTTGGTTTCAAACGATTCCTCTTTTTTGACACAACTTCTCCAGCCTTTGAAAAGACACGCTCACATGGCACAGATGATGCTGGCGTACATAAATAAATAAGTGCAAGTTTGTACAGATTGGGGTACAGTGACCGATGATTAGCCCAGTACTCCAGGGGGTTCTCCAGCCTGCTTATGTTTGCCTCTGACAGGTAGCACTGGACCTCTACGGTGGCATCTGCTGACACATTTTGAGTCCTCTTTGCCTCCATGACACTAGTGTCCAATCTTTGCCAAATGGAAACCACAGGTCAAGGCAGCGAGGCCTCGGACGTCATCGTTTTTGGCTTCTCCCCTAAATGAAGCAAGCTTCGATACGCGCTTTACGGAAACATCCCCTCCATTACTCGACACACGCTTCGAAGCCTCGGCACATCCCGTAACATCACTTGATTGTGCATATTTGTGAATATGTGCGGGCTGGCTAGCACAGACTCTTTAATTAGATGACAGCTCGTGACGGCTCATCCGTCACAAGAGGCCATCCTGACAAATGGCTCCTCTTGCTTTCCAAATAGATAGTTCTTCTGGCAAAACCTGTTGATGTTGGATGATTTTATCAAGGTAGTTCTGTTCCACCTGTTCAATGTCAATACTTCCTTTCTCCCCCTGTTTTCTGAACTATGTCAAAAGAGCTTTAAATTTCTGAAAGCTAAGCTAACAACAACACCTGTCTCAGCCTATGCAGATTTCACTCAACCAATTATCTTGGAGGTTGACGCCAGCTGTGGTGGCCTGGGAGCAGTCCTCTCTCAAATGCAGGCAGGCAAGATGAGATCCTTAAGTGAGCCATGACCGACAAGTTTACAAAGTATTCGTTGGGGAACAAATGTATTGTGTACACTGATAACAATCCTCTCAGCCATTTATCCACTACTAAATTGGCTGCTACTGAACAGAGGTGAACTGCTCAGCTAGCCGTTTTTGATTATGAGATCAAGTACCAGTCAGGGCAGTGTAATATAAATGCTTATGTACTTTCTCATGATCCACCAGATGTGAAAGCCATGCTTCTGGGTACAGCTATGCCTAAAGCATTGCAGGAAGCTTTGGGATTTTAAAAGGTTGAGGCAACTGTTGAGGCGCTTACCAAGGACAAATACACACATATGCTTCTACACACATTACACTCTCATACTTTCACACAAAGGCCTTTGTATTTGTAACAGATACAGAAACTGAATCATCTCCTCACTCTCATCTCCAAGGAAATAGAGATTTAGGTGACGCAGGACATCTGATGACCACTGGGCGTGTTCTTAGATCATAAGCAACAAATCTTCACGTTTTTAATTACATTCTGTGTAGACTCGGGGCCCCGTTTTCACTTCTAGTCTGTGATGGTAAGCGTCTCTTTTTTAGCGCTAAAAAAGAATAAAAAACGTAAAGTCTGATTATTTTGTGTTGGCTGATTTGCTGCTCATGCGCTTGCACGTTTTTGGTCTATCGGGTTTAGAATACATGATGTTTTTTCACAACACAACCCAAGCAGTTGTTGCAGTTTTGCCACAGCATACTACAGATGAACTTTATACTTTGTAGCAGACTGGTCCCCTTTTGCAGTACTTGTTGGTGTTTTGGAGGAAATGACAGCATCCCAGTCGAGAGGAGCAGGCTTAGCTGTCCCCACCTATGTTGGTTCTGCTTTGGCAGTGGGACCGGTTGGTTGAGAGAAATGGAGTTCTTTATTGAAAGGTATTTAGATCAGATGGTAGTGATGCTGTGTTCCAGTTGATGTTGCCAAGTGTGCTAATTAAGGATGTTCTGATCCAAGTCATGAAGAACATAGTCACCAGGGAGTGGAACGAACTTTGGTGCTCTTACTGATCTCACATGACCTCTGATGTCCACCCTAAAGCTCATGGCTACATGGGGCATTTACCTGCATCACATCCTAATGAAATTCTGGCCATTGATTATACCACCTTACAGCCCACCCAGAATGGCTTGGAAAATGTTTTGGTCTGGACAGATGTTTTTAGTAAATATACTGTTGCTGTCCCCACACAGGATCAGTGACCTGCCACAAAAATCAGGTCTTTTGTGATTTTTATGATTATTATTCTAACAATTATTCAGCTTCATGTAATGACTGTCATTAGAGTCTGGGATATCAGGCATGAGGACACACTGCATCCTTGCTGTCAATGGAAAGATCCACTCTGTTGAATCTCTAAGGTCTCACACCACCAAATTTCACTCTATCTCCTGGAAAAATTGTTACCAAAATCTATGAGGACATTCCTTATGCATGTCAGGATTATATTGAGCTAAGAACAAAGAAATGGCATCCCAAGATTTTAGCTTCATATGCTGACAGCAGTATGATTGCATTCAGGAAGTACAGTGCATGTGCAGCACATTTTTACATTATTTTATGAATAAATGCTTGAGATCTATTTTTAGCTGGAACTGAGGTGGTTTCGGGGACAGTGGCAAGCCGCTGATGATTCCACTGCTTGGGGATCCCATCTCGACGGCCAGTCAAGATGGGACTGGCCGATCCCCAAGCATATCTCCAGCTTAGAGAAGCCTTTAGTGCTTGACTAGAAATGACTTGAACACTGCTCCGGCAGTAAGTGGAGTCATCCTTCTCTTTTTCCATGTTGTCCTATGGGAGGAGGACAGATGGACACCGGATGGACAGATATTTTTGTTATGAGTCTGTCAGCTGGCATCAAGTTGAACATTTGGGATCTCAGAATGAAACAGCTTGGAGCCATTTAGTCATGCAGTCAGCGCTGATCTCAGCAGTGTGTCCCCACCGCAGCGTAAGCTGTAGAGGTGGAGGGCTCTGTGTGGATAGTGCTAAATGGTGAGAGCTCCAGCTCAGCTGTGGAACATTCATTTTCAACTTCTCTGTTATGGGGCCTGCTGCACTCCTTGCAGCAGCATCACCCTCAGTTTCCTTCCATCATGTTTTCTGTTCATGAACCACTTGATGTGTCGTCTTTTTGGAGCTTTTGGCCTATTTTATGTTGTCAGGTTTAGTCTAAGGCCCATGTGTCAAACTCAAGGCCCGGGGGCCAAATCCGGCCCGCCGTAGCTTTTTATGTGGCCCTCCACAGACTAAACTAAATACTAAGCGTGATTAAATATTATGTTATCAATCATATCAATGCAGTTTTTATCTGTTTACTGCCAATTTATATCAATCAATCCCTCCAGTTTTTTGAGAATTTAGTTGATGTATGATTATAGTCCATGATTTATACAGCGAGTAAATAAAAAGCCTCATTCATTATTAGTTCCTGAAGGGACTGAAAAGATGTTCAAAAATATTATGTAATTTTAAGAATTTATTGACATATTAACAGTTTGTGAACAGGTTTATTCAACATGTTCTGGCACAACCGGCCCTTTAAGAGCCTTCATGATCTTGATTTGGCTCAAAACGAAAATGAGTTTGACACACCTGGTCTAAGGTAATCAATGATTTAAAAACAAGGCAAATCTTATTTTTGTATGAGGTCAAGTTTGTTTGAATAGACATTTTCTGTAGAAACTAAACTCATTGTAACAAAACTCATTATCGAATTATCTTTGATATTAAAATTTACATTATAATCTGAAAAATCAGTGTGACAAAGATGCAAAAACAGAAAAAGCAATATTTTTTTCTTTTAGTGGTGTTCCTGTTTATTTCTTTCTTCCTTTCTAAAATACTGATGAAAAAGAAGTACTACTCATATCCAAACTAAAGTTTGAAATGACTTCCAACATTTCAATATAAAAGTAAAATGGAAGTACATCATTCAAATGCTTATTCATAACATCAAACAGCTATTATGCTTTGTACACTTTTATTCACAGCCATCCTGAGTCTTTTTGTGCCTTGATAAATATAGAGGTTACGACTGGTGAAATGTGATAATGAATACAAGCAAAAGCTGTAAAAATACTAAATTAACTCATACCGACTCCATTCTTTTAAGAAAATGAGGGGAAATCTCAGCTGGAAACTGCAGCTTCAGGAAGGAGATATATCTCAAAGGTGGTTGCCATGGATATTAAAGGATTACTCAAAGAGACATGAAAGAATCAAAGCAACATTCCGGGTGTGTTTTTGATAAGGAAAAACCATTATAACATGATGTAAAGCTCAAAAAAGTTTGATTTGACATAAACAAACTTTCATATTTTCTCTCCAAAGAGATCAAAACAGGCTGCAGGTGGGCTATCAGAAACCTTCTACTATTAAAAAAAAGGTTTCTGGTTATTTCATTCACCCATTGATATCAGATGGACACCGGATGGACAGATATTTTTGTTATGAGTCTGTCAGCTGGCATCAAGTTGAACATTTGGGATCTCAGAATGAAACAGCTTGGAGCCATTTAGTCATGCAGTCAGCGCTGATCTCAGCAGTGTGTCCCCACCGCAGCGTAAGCTGTAGAGGTGGAGGGCTCTGGTGGATAGTGCTAAATGGTGAGAGCTCCAGCTCAGCTGTGGAACATTCATTTTCAACTTCTCTGTTATGGGGCCTGCTGCACTCCTTGCAGCAGCAGCAGCAGCAGTCCAGAAAGGCTCTGGTGAATGGTTGACACAGACAGAACAGCAGCACAGGAGTCCCTGCAGACTTGCAGAACAGCAGCAGCTGACTGACCAGATGCAGGATGTCCAGGGTCTCCCTGGGAATGCCAGTCGCCATGTACATTATGATGATGTTGCAGATGTTCTCAGGGATGACGCAAAAGCCATAAAGGATAGCCAAGGCCACCACAGCACAGTTCATCTGGCTCTCCAGCTGGATTTGCTTCTTGCTCCCTCGTACACAAGCTCGCTCAGCATGACGGATCTTTCTGGCAGTGACCAGTGAGCTGCAGATGGTAAACAATGTTGGCAGACAGAAGTAGCAGCCAAAGTACCACCAGAGGCGTGCACTGTCATACGTCAGCCCCAGGACGTACAGCATGTCTGGGAGCTCAGTGGAGATCTGAACCGCACAACGGTCACAGGGCATCACATCGGCGGCGTCACTGTCCTCTGTCACCAACTGTCGGATGAGTAGCTCAGGTAAAGCCAGCAGCAACGCTCCAACCCAAATCACTGCCAGCTTAGCCATGGTGGATGCCCAGTTCTCAATCATCTCATAGTACATCATCACATTAGTGGCTACACGAAAACGGTCAATGCACAGAGCGCAAAGTGTAAAGGTGGTGACCCCGAGAGACGCCACCTGGGAGAAGATCAAAAGCAGAATGTTAACTCACATAAACACCAATCCATGAACATCACAACACTTACACTGATTTGATGAACCTTTGCACCTGCCACAAAACATCTTAGACATAGTGAGCTAGCACCTGACAGGCATTTGCACACACAGAATTTCACTTGTATTTACCAAAGAAATATTTGCCTTTTTTATACTTTTGCTGCTGACAGTTGAATCAGAAACAACACAAACTTACTATATTGTTGTGAAATAATTTAGAATGCCAAAGGATAATGTCATCTCTGTTAATCTACAGACTGCTCCTATTCAATCCAGTATTTTATTTCACTAAAGCATGCTCACATTGTGCACCAGATGAATGAGTAGAATACTTTGGTTATTTTTTAAATCAAGTTTCTGAGAACAGAGAGGCACCTTAAAACACTTATTTCTTTAGTGACAGAGTGATTTAGAATTTAATTTTTTTACACAATTAAGATGACAAGTCTAAATCTTACTATATTTAATTAGGAATGTGGCATATCAACCCCTCTGGTACAAACAGAAACCACAGCAGGCTGGATACGATTTACAGCCGAATAGCCAGTTTGAACAGAAGCTTGCTTCATCACTGATGATCTGTCCAGATTCATCAGTGGATGTATTCGCACATAAACTCTGGGACATCAGTGACAGTGGGGAAAGATTGGATGAAAACACAAATGTGTTAGTGACTACTGGAAAGTCAATGACAGCTTGGGGCGACAGCTCCACTGGCGACCCATTCTGTATCCACTGAAAGGAAGACACCCAAATAAAGCTAATTAGTGGAAAGGACAAGCTCCCAGATTGGTGGACATAACAGTAGCAGAACCAGGAAAAGGACTACTGACTTTGAGCAAGCAGTGTTCAAGTGGTAATGTCCGCAAGAACTTGCATGGCCAGAAAATCCACCAAGCGAAGATGAAGTGTTTGCTGGGAGCAGGAGTAACACAACACACAGGTGAACACCCAGGTGAGATGTAGGAGGAGCCTATAAGTGTTTCCCTTGTGTGCCCGGAGCCTTCAAGTGTTGTTGACTAATCCTGCAAGCACAGAGTCATTACGGAAGTGGATTAAGTGTTGTTGTGTCTAGTACTTTTCTCAGAAGGAGTTAGAGCACCCAATCCAGCTGAAGCCCACAGAAGAATTCATAAGGAACCCTTTTAGCTGAATTTATGCAAGGAGATTCACCTGGGATTAACTAACAACCTTCATCCAGGAGTCCCACCTCACATTCATTCATTTATTTACTAACAGCTGGAGTCAAATTAGCTCCCATGGATCACACTCTCCTGTTTTTGGAAACATGACTGTTGAGCTTTAGCAGACCACTGGTAGGATGAGTTCAGCGTGACCAGGTCGTCACAGGCAACACACACGGACACACACATTCACAATCAGGTCGAAGGACAATTCACAGAGACCAATAAATGTAACAGTCATGTTTTACACTGTGGGAGGAAGCCAGAGTACCCAGAGAGAACCTGCACATCCATGAAGACAGATTGACTACATGCTGAAGGGCAACATGCATTCCTGCAGACAAAGCAGAAAAATCTTGAAGGAGAATTTCTGCACATTAATTGGTCATATGAAGTTCAAACTCACATGGGTTAGGCAGAAAAACAGCGATCCAAAGAAACAACAGCAAGTCCTTCTCTGAATGGCTGTTATAATCTGAAAGTTTTGGAAAGTGTGTCAAATTACAGACAAAAAAATGTGTAAGATAATACATTTTTACTAATTTAATTAACTTCCATCTTCCTTTTTCAGTTTACCTTCTTATTGACTCTGCCTGGTTCAGTTAGGACAATGGTTAGCTTTTGGGTTCAACTTAAGATTCTGTGCTACCATGTGTGCTGCCCTCAGTTTTCACCCTATTACCTGAGGGTGATGAAGATCCAGCAGCACTAAGGGCTGCAACTCCTCCTAATGACAAAGAAAACAAAGGAAATGCAACACAGGAGAAGTGAATGGCGCAAGTCATCAACTCCATCATTGTGCTGGGTGTCTTGAGTACATACATTTTTAACCAGTCTTAATAATACAATTAACTTGATGCAAATTAAAATATATGTATATATAATTGACTTGGAATCTGTCTATGTTTTAACTGATTTTTTAATGTGATTTGTTGTTATAGAAATAACCTGAATTGAAATATTTCTTGTCAACAGTTGGTTCAAATTTCAAGTCACAGATTTCTGGTTAAAATAGTTTCAAAGTTTCTAGTTTCAGTTTAACCTATTTGAAATGATTTCTTTAAACTCATACAACAAATGAGAACGTTAGTGATGTCTAACACAATCTCTGGTGGTTGGTACATTATTTCTACCTGTTTCATTCAAAGAAATTCAGAGTATGTTGTTGCTGCTGTTCTGAGTTTTCTGGAACAAGATTTTATCCCTTTTAGTGATAAAGGATTGAGGCGTTTATGTCGAGAAGAAACTGTTCCGATGAAGCTAAATTATAAACAGAGCCTATTTAGAGGAGCTTGTCACTGCTTACATTGATGCAAACAGTCCTGTGGTCAAGGTCTAATCTTAGTCTTAGAAAGGGGGCTCACCAATCCCACACCCCAGTCTGATGGGTGAGCAGATTGTAACACATGCATAAGGGTTTTCACAGTGTTATGTGACCTTAATCAGATAAACAAGCCCTCCTTTCATTTAGATTTAGATGTGAAACTGGATCTACCATCTTCTCCTGGGATCTTTATGTGCAGAACCTCTGCATATCTGGCCACAGCTGTCAAAGAAACCTTCAAGCCAAGTGTGCCTGACAGAGTGAGTATAGACAGGAGAATGACTGAGAATAACCTAAAAATGGCTTAATAACTATAAAAATGATCCCTTACAGCATTCTTAAAAACAGATTCCGTTCATAAATTCTTTATGAAAAGTGAAGAGCATGAGCAAAGAAATTAAGCACACAAATATTAGAATCAGTGCAGACTTCTACTTCAACCTGATAGACAGCAGAGGGAGAATTGTTGAGCTGAGGTAAACATGTGCTGCAGTATTAGTATGTCAAGATGTGACATGTTTGATAACACACCCTAAACCTCAGCCACTGCTGCCTTCTTTTGGGTTAGTGTGTGCGCCTTCTTTAAAAAGATGGGAATTCCTCACTTTGGTGAATCACATTTATCTCTTCTATGTTTCCTCACCACATGTATGTTGGCACCAGCTTTTAAAGGTGTCGTCTCATCATTTTAGTTAGATTTAAGTTCATTATCTGTTTTTCATTACTGAGCAGTGCTGCTGGTTGCTTGAAAACCCTAGTGAAAAAGATACTTTTGTATATTTCAAACATACATTTGTTTCATTGTACATTTTAAGAATACTAAGTAGTAAGTGTACTAAATATAAATATATATGAAGTATACTAACAGTATGCTTGTACCAATTTTGACATAACTTTAACACACTTGTCTACGATTGTACCACAATACACTTAAGAAATATATTCAATAAAAATATACTTTAAGTGAACAAAATTGGCATTTGCTCAAGTGTACCAATGAAACAATATGCTTTTAAAGATTTTTTGTATATATTTAAAAATATATGCTCAAAGTAAATTTAAAATATAAATTACTAAAAGCTTATCTTAAAAGCTTTAATAACCTTAAAGCTTAAGGTCATTAATCATGATATTTCAGTATGTTTAAATTGCATCTCAGTGTTTACTTTAGACTAATGAAGTATGCCTTTAGGTGCCTTAATAATCTTTTACTATGTTGTTAAAATGGCAAAGAATAAAAAAAAAATAAAAAAATTAACAATCCTTATAGTGGAACTGGTGGTAAGTTTGCTTCAAAATGCTAATCAGGAGGGGGCTATTTTTTGCATTGGGTGATTTCATCCCTTTCTGGAGTTTCAACCGAACCCCAGATCTAAAACAACTTAATTAATCTAACCATGTGTATTACACAATAAAGACTAAGTGAATGTCCCCTTGATATTGTCAAAAATTTGAAGACCAGAAATAAGTGACAGGCCAGAAACAACAGTCGAGCTTTACAGTCAGACGTTTAACAAACCGCCAGCAAAAAAAAAAAAAAACGTTCTGCCTACCATTTAAGTTGTGCACACTCTAAAAAGCTCAATTTTTAGTCACTATGTTCTGAGATCTTAATTGAGACCCGAGTCCTGGTCTCAGGAACGCAAAAACTGGCTCAGTTGTTGCAGTTCAATCATTTTTATCTCTATGCACCCCTCCATTTACCAGTTTCAGGACCTGAAAATTGGTCCTGAACCCATACACCCCTTACAGTTTCAATTGCAACATTGGGCTTCACAAGAACTCCTCAGTAATAATATTGAGGGGTTCTGGTCGGGCCCTGAAACTGGTAAATGGGCCTGGGTGGTGCATAAAAACAGAAATGGTTGAACTGTAACAAAGGTGAATCAGAATTTTGTAAGAGTATAAATAGAGTTCCACAGTTTGCAGTTTTCAAGAATGATCTGCCAATTTCCATTTTGGCTCATACCATTTTTTTTGTGTGAAATCGTGCTAAATATAGAAAGAAAGCTGAAAACAGTAGGATTACTATTGATAACTGCAAAGATGCAGACTTGACCTGGTGGGTCTATCAGTCAAACCTCCCCCACAGCAGAGAAACAGAAGACAATAGCTAATTTGTAGACCTTTGCTGAGGAAGATAAGATCGGTGAATGAGATTGGCTTTACATCTAAGTATGAGCCGATCACTCATCTCCCAAAACTAAGAAAGTCTGTTCATCCCTAATTTGAGAAATAGGATTAATAGCTTTTTGATCAAATCAAAAACTATTGACTTTCTACTCCCTGAAGCAGTGACATTTGTTGGATGGGAGTGACATGGAGAGCTTTAAAAAGTTAATTCCTCATATTTTTCCAGTTGTCACATTATAACCTCAAATGTCAGTATTTCATTGGGACCAACGTAGGTCAGACTTATTAAGTGGAGGAAAAATGTTGTATTATTTTCACCTTCCTAACAGATAAAGATCAGAAAAACATACTCTTTATATCCATGGCCCTTTATTTTGATTCCCCCAAATAAAATCCAGCAAGATTTGACTTCAGGATTCACCATGGTTGAAAAAAAGTCCATCCGTGTGGAGTTGAACCTCAGTCTAAATGCAGCTTGTCTGGTTCTGGTCTCAGAGGTTTTTCAAAGATCAAGCATCAACCTTGGAGATCAGGGAACCTAGGAGGTCAGGCAGAACCTGGTGGTTCTGTTTAAAGCAGAGTTAGGTTCTACAACAACATCCCAGATTTCTAATCAATCAATCCTTCATCTGGACGTGGAGACAGAATGGACCCGCTGGAGACCTACAAGGACATGGACATTCACCTGGATTGACAGGAGAGCATGGAGGCTCTGGATGAGCTGCAGAGATCCACACCTCAGGAGGAGAATCTGCTGACACACTAGTAATCCTACACAGCACACCTGGCCTTTATTACTCTCAGCAGTACAAAGCCCTTCCACCAATCTCTCACCTCCAGGTAGGGGACGATCCTGCAGGAGAACTCTCCCAGCAGCCAGTGCTTGGTGAGCTCATGGAAAACCACGAGCGGCAGGCAGAAGAAGACAGCGATGAAGTCCCAGAGTGCAAGGTTTGCCAGCAGGGAATTAGAGATGCTCCTCATGTAGTAGTTGTGACACACAATACACATGAGCGCCACGTTCCCGATGATCCCTACGCTGAAGATGACGACGGCCAGCACCAGCAGCGCCCAGGCTCCGTACGACGCGGCAGTGAGGGGATAAAATGGGTTCTTCATCTGCTTGCGTCTGGTCCGCGGGTTCCCTGGTCCAAATGCCGTGGTCTCAGGAGTGTCTGGCAGGGAGTAATGCTCCTCCTCATAGTTGCTGCTGTTGAATTTCGATGGGAAAGGGGGGTCCCGCTCCTGCGCCAAAGCGACCGGTGCCTCCAACAGCTGCTCGCTTCGCCTCCTCCGGTTCTGATTGGACCTCGCATCCTTCTCATCGGTTCCTATTCCGCATTTAAGCCCTTGCCCGTTTTTTTTTAGCCCTTCATCCACAGTACATCGCGTTTTTTGCAAGCTCTCCTGTAAATGTCCATTTATTGCAGAACTTTTACGCACAGAGCGTTGGCGCAGCGCTCCCTGTAGCTTGGCTGGTTCCGGGCCCAGAAGGGAAAACAAGGCTACCCGGCTGGCTATTTGGGGGGGCCACGACCTGCTCAGCGAATTCCTCTCGGGAGTGGTAGTTTCGTTAAGAAGACCGGGACGAGAACCATGCGGGCGGAGCGGAGCTGCATCGATGTTACTCCACAGCAGCAAGCAGAGGAGCCGCTGAGGCAGCATGGTTCGGCTTAAACAGAGTGGGGTTCGGTCAGCGCCACGATGCCCGGTCCATCTCCAAACTGTGCTGTCAGATCAAAGAGGTCTTGAGCTTCTAGGAATATGAGCAGCGCTAGCAGGGTCTACTCCCGACTCCTGAGCCGACTAGGGTCTGTGCGGGGAGCCGATGTGCTGACACCAAGGTCACCACTCGCACGACTGAAGAGCCCCGAAGTTTGAAAAGTTCCACCTCACGAAGCTCTGAGACAGAGAGAAAAAGGGCTGGTGTTATATCAGGGAATGGGAGAATCTAGGGTGAGGGAGGGAGAGGGCGAAGTGAAAGATTACAAAGAGAGGGGAGTGAGAGGGAGGAGCAAATATCCGTCAAACTTCCCATATTAATTCCGTTTACCTTGCAGAAAACAGTGGCAATAATAACCCTGATTATGGAAAGGACAAGAGTTGTGACAAGGTGGCACCCTCAATAGAATCAGAATCAGTTTCTGTTCAATAATGAGTAACCATGTCAGTAAGTCACTTTAGAGAGAATTCTGCCAGATTGATCCTGATTGTTTTTTAGATATAAAATAATGGATAACAAATACTTTCCTGCAATTTTTTTATACTTTATAACTGGTGCTATTAATAAAGAGAAACTCCTGAAAGTTCAGTTCTTTTTCCAAATAGTTTGATCGAAAACATCCCATAACATCTCACCTGTTCAATCTGCTCCAGTCTAATTGGTTTCCTTCCAGGATTGCTCTAGATTTAGCTCCATTCATCCTCCCATCATCCCTGACCTGCTGCCTGCTGAAGTAATGCATTCCCGCATGATCCTGCCACCACCAGGTTGCACAGTGGACAGGATGTTTTCATGGTGCAATGGAGGCCCAAAAGTTTGGTTTTGTCCTCAGAGAGAACATGACACCTGATCCTGTGATTGGTTTTAGCCTATAGCCACACTGATGAGCCAGAGCATAATATGACCACCAATAAAATATCTGATTCAAGCTTACTGATTATCCTTTTATTTAGAAAATCATTAAATCACTATGGTGAATGGTGGAGAAAACCTTGTGATGAAAACAAACAGAAAGCATCCCATCAGTGCAAGGAATAGGTTTCCCATCAAGCAGCTCAGAAGACAGAACACGTCATGTGTTTGAATGTTAGGTGATGTGCAGTCCAGATTGGTCCATCATGCTTCATTGTTCATTGTCTGGACTGTTACAGCAGGGTTTGACGACCACAGTATTGCAGATCTGGTAGCAGGTCTGGCTCTGCCTCTTCTCGCCCTCTGTCTGGTACGCCATGAGACATAGGTCAAGCCATGGCTGCTCACCTGTAATATATGTGAGGAGTCATCAAGGTCACCCGAACCCTGGACTGGACAGGAAGTGATCAGAGTCATGAGGCGACTGTGAAGGGGCTGAGACAGACTGTGGGATACATTCTGCCACTGATTTCTCAATGCACAGGCCTTCATGGACTCAGAGCACAGCTTGGTTGTTGGTCCCATTACATACCTATGCTGCCTTCTGGTGGACAGAGTGTATCCATGGTCTGATGAATGGTGTTTTGAGCTTCCTGATTGGTTGAGATATCTGTTGCTGCCACATTGAAGAAAAGCTCCTGAAGACAGAAGCAACACAGTTTAGTTAATTCCTCCATTCAGTAGGAAGACAGTAATTCGGAGCTCTGTCAGTTGATAAGGCAACTGGTGCACAAAGGGGAAAATGGGTGAACTACATGAATATGTTCATCAAAAATATCAATGACATTCATCTTTGTGTCCTACTGTCCTGAGCTGTGAGGAGTTTTAGTTGAAAAGAAGATATGTCCTTCACAGTACTGCTTCAACATCCCTGACTGCTTCTCTGCTGTCCGGAAATATCTCAGTTCTGAGTGTTGTGCATCATTCCAGTCCTCCCGTCATCAGGTTATGAAACAATGGTTCCTATGCTGTTGATTCTAAGCTTGAGCTGACCAGTTTCCAGTTATTTGGAGAAGGTGTTGAACCAGAGACCTTACTAAAGGTCAAAGGTCACCTGTCCTTGGAGGGCTGAATTTGAAGACCCCTGAGCTGGAGACTCAGGAAACCTTTGCAGGTGGAGTTAATTAGCTGATTAATGAGATTTCAATATTTCATAAAATTTGGAGTGTTCATTTTCTGAATGCCAATATCATCAGTGACAAGAAATAAAGGATTGAAACATTCTATGTTAAATTAATCTATATTATAACTTTCCCTTCCTGAGTCAGTCTCCTGTATTAAATGTGCACCACAATTTTTGTCCCAAGTTCTGCATGTGCAAGACTTTTTCTAAATGTGAGAATATAAACACACACACACAAATACAACATATCTTCTTATAAAAGAACACAGAACCTCAGCAGATTAGTAAAAAGCCCTTAGCAACAGAGGCCGGATGACTAAAAGAGGATCCACTCAGAAACCAGGACATTATTGAGATGAGATTTTCTAGTTCTACTTTAGTGAAGGTGATGTCATGGGATGGGCCGCCAACCCATCCAGGCTGTACCCAGCCTTGGTAAACACACAGACGCTAACTCCTGCATGAACACAGCTGTTCTCATATTGCAGTCAGATGTTCCAGCTCAGACTTTACCTGCTTAACGACAAGGGCATAAAAATCAAAAACTCACGGCATGTCTCCACAAGTAGACGTCCAGAGTGTCTGTGGCATCCTGCAGCTGCAACTTCAACAGCAAGACCAGCTGCAGCGGTTGCACGCTGAGGGCTGCAGAACACAAGCAAACAGACAGAAGGCTTAGGGCTGACCCCAAGTCAGTCACATTCAGGAGGTAAATTTATCTTTAACAGACTGCTTTTGGCAGTTAATATGCTGTCGCCAGCCAGTCAGCCAGCCACTAGCCAGTCAACCAACCAGCCAGCCAGCAGCATGAAATCCAGACTCCAATGATGCTCTCATTCCACTCACTCTGGCAATTCTTGCCATAAGAGCCCAGACGTTGTTGAAGCAAAGTGCTGGTCATGGGGCTGGTTTTTACAAGTCTAGGGTGAAAAAATGTTTCACTTTTTTGTTTCCATTTTAATATAGTTCAGATTTTGCCACACTTTTGAAAAATCCAATGATGACAGTCCAATTAGGATGACTGGAAACTCCTGGTGTGTTGGACAAGTCACTTAACCCATCTAGCCTCACCTGCTGGTAGGGGTCAGACTGGCCCAAGGCAGCTAGGGCTACAGCCAGCAGTTCAACAACATGGGTGCATGTGTGTGCTCTGGGGTCCTCTGGATCAGAATGAGTGCTGTACCAATTCAGACTACTTCTTACCATAAGAAGTTAATGGTGACTGACATCCAACCATAACCTGGTTTTGTTTGGAGATTTTAAACATTCAGTTGTTTTTCTTTAACTTATGAAGTCTGTTACTATGGTTACTGTTTTTTCTCTCATCTTCAACAACAGAAAGTGCAGCATGTCTCACTCTCTGCTATTATCGTCTCATCGATCTGCTCTGCTCCTGCATCACTCGGCTCCCTCACTGCAGGCTCAGAGCACCGCTTACACCTGCAACACACACACAGCTGTCAGAGATGCTGTCCCTAACACACTGGTGGAACTGTCTGGATTTTGGTTCTGTTATTATGTGATGCTAGTAGAAGAGGGGCTGGGCTGTTACCCATAGTGTCTGTTTGTTCCTCTGAACAGGAAGGGTGCAGTCAGGTCCAGCAGGGCCAGCCGGCCACAAGATGGCGCCACTGGAACAACGTTGGGGTAAGCAGCTGACAGTTGCTGTGTCTCCTCCAGAGAGCACCCTGGGTGAGGAAGGGATTCAAATGAAAACATAATTTCCTTTGTTGCCGATCTGATGAGAAGAAAAGCCACAAAGTTTAAAAGACTTCATCTTAAAACAGAAAGACGCTGAAGGAAGTTGCAGACATTTCCTGGTCTTGACTGTTACCCATGAGGAAGATGAGCTGCTCAGTTTTGCCCTCTGTCATGAGCTTGGTGGACAGGTGGACACTGGTAGAATGCTGTTGGGATGCTGAGGCATCTCCTGGTAGGTCCACATGTCCAGACAGCGCCCATGGAGGAGGAGTACAGGCTGTAGGGCGTCGGGTCGCCTCAGAGAAGATCCCAGCCAGCAGCTCGTCATCTGGGATATCCTGACTGGGAACACAGTGGAGCTTTAATTCTCCATGGACTCACACAGAACACCTCTATAGCGGCAATTCACAACACGTTGTCTCAAACAGCAAAGTTTTCTCAATTAATTATTGAGCATACAGGTGTTGTTCAGCTGTAGTTGAAGAACAGCTGTTCTGCTTGTAAATTCATTTCCTTTAAAGTACAAGAAAATTTGGGCTGATGTTTATAGCAGCTCTCTGTCAATAACAGGAAGGAGAGTGGGTAGAGCACAAAGCTCTACTTCCACTGTAGAGGAAGGAAAGAACATATTCATGAGTCCGGAAAGGAATATTTAAGCAGATCCTCTTCATTACACGTCTGACCTCAGGAGGGCGCGACAGGCTCCCGGTGGCCATCTACTGATGGGTGGTTTGAATTGGCTGACAGAATCTAATTCATTGTGCTTCTGGGCATGAGATCCTTTATGATATGTTTAGCTCATTGTCGAAACGTTTCTTTAACATCCTAAACAAATAAGAAATGACTAGATTTTATCTAAGCTGCTTGTGACCAAGCCCAGACTCTGTCCTGTCTCACTGTCCCAAATTGTCCTAACAGAGCACTTTGCTCTAAGATGCTTTGTCCACATATTCACCTATCCATATGTGCGCCTGTCCATTTTTTCACATGTCAACATGTTCACCTGCCCATCATTACTCCTTGAATGCTCACAGTTACCCATGTGCACGCATGTATATGCAAAGCTAAGGCTAAGGTAAAAGGAAGTGACACATCTGGGAATGCTCTCATTAAGGCGTAGCTTAGGTAGAGGCTTAGATAAAAATGATAATCATTCCTCCTCTTTACATTTCCACCTGTTTTCACTTTCACATGTGCATCTGTCCACATGTTCATCATTCCACCTATTCATATGTCCATCTGTCCATATGTTGACCTGTTTATATGTCCACATGTTCATATATTAACATGTCCATCTCACATATGCTCATGTCCATCATTCCTCCTGTCCACATCTTTATATGTCCACATGTTCATATATCCACTGTCCACATTTTTTCCTGCCCACATGTCCACCTGTCCTCATGCTCACCTATTCACATGCGCAACCCTTCGCCTGCCCATATGTCCATCTGTCAACATGTTCACTAAGCCACATGGTTAGCTGTTGCTCATGTCCATCATCATCCTATTCACATGTCCTTCTGTTCACCGGTTCTCATGTTTATATGTTCACATGTTCAACTCATAGGTGGAAATCCTGGAGGATTCTGAGGGGTCCACAACCCCCCAGTCATGGACTCAATTGCTTCCTTCACTACAGGAAAACTACAGGCAGACTACACTTCTAAAACAATTCAGACGTCAAATCATCATCAACAATTACTTTTG